GGCCGCCATGTGCTACGCCGATAGGTACAGGCCGTCCCCCGTCCGGGTTTGTGGGCAAAATTCAGCTTTTTTTTAACGTTTCGGGACTTAAAAACCGACAGCAGGGGAAAAATAAATCGTATACGTTATTTTCATGGGAAATACCGCTATCATGAACCAGACATTTTCTGTCGCGTCAACGAATTTCGCGGCCGCCACATGCTTCATAATGTCGCGATACGGTAGGGAATTTTCAGGTTTATAAGTTCGTAAACGTATCGGCTTTTATTTTAAACTTATTATCAGGGTCGAGAGCTTTGGTTTACAAAGAAATCAGACAATTAGCTTTCTTTACACGACTTCAAAACGCTAGCGGGGCGCCCGATGTTCCACCAATGACAGCGATTCTCTCAGTAGCGTCGTGCGAAATACTCATTGTTTACTCGATTATCGCCCCATTCACAAGTTTTCAGAGACAATGCCGGCGGGAAAATAGACGCCACTAAGCCCCGAAATCAGGAAATTTTATCGAATTTTAGCGAAATTTTGTAGAAAAATCGGGATGCAACACCCTAGATTTGAAAATGAGTATGAGGGCGCTGAGCTAGGAGTATCAGGGCGCAGCGCCCTTGTTCCATCGTCTGGGGAGAACCCTGACCTGGTATTGTTTTGGTATGTCTGTAAAGTTCACAACACTTGAATTTTATGGCAAAAGTACATGTAATGTTCTTGTAGTTCACATTTGACAATTGAAGGCAAAGCAAATGTTCGCAAACATAAAACCATAGCAGTTATTGCCTCCATGAAAAATGGAGGTATTGTTTTGGGCGCGTCTGTGTGTATGTATGTATGTACAGTACATGTATGTGTGTGTGTGTGTGTGTGTGTGTTTCTGCACATTTGTAGTCAGAATAACTTTAGAACACCTTTATGGATTGAGATGATATTTGGTATGCTGGTAGGTCATGTAGGAAGCCAAAGGTCAAGGTCAAATATGGGCCTCCTGGTGGCTGACCTTGGTACTGCAGCAGAATTTCCAGTTTTGTAAGGCAGGGAAAACAGATGTGCCGGTTTGCAACAAAACACCAGCGGTCAGCCCGCCGGTTTGATTAACGAGGTTCTCCCTCTGGAATAGGCTGACCTACATATTTCAGGTCAAAGGTGCTACTGTATTCGCTGTGTGTTTGAAAACCCTGAAAAGCCTGAGTTATTTTGTTCTGTACTGTAGTATACTGTGTAAAAACATTTACTAAAACTCATGGAGGTATGAGATCTCCGAATTCTTGTTTCTAGATTTACTGTAGAAAGCACAATCATGTAGAAATCCAAGTGATGATTTGCACAATCATGCATATCATTGCATAAAATACGTAGATCCCATTGTAATTAGAAGATAGAATATTGACTCATGTGCACGAAATGCACATATCTATTGAGAGTTATAATGTAAGTACTACAGTATTTCATTCACTGTGTATGGCTACTGGGCGTAAAAGCATGATTAATGAGGCTAGCAGTTCTTTCAGTTTTCAACGCCGTTGTCTAAGTAAAAAAAAATCTTAAGGTCTCCAAACATGTGACAAGTAATTCAAGGTTCAAAAGCCAAAAGGAGGAGGTGCAGCGTACATACTTCTTGAAAGGATGACATTTAGTGCGGCTGCTTCCTTTTTTCGCTGCGATCGAGAATGAAGCAAACGGTAAGGAGATACGCAGTTTCAATAACGTTGAAGAAGGTTACAACCTGCAAGGGTTACATTATTTCTGAGGGATGTTCGCTCTTCAGGGTGGACCATTTATGATTCTACCACCCTCCCTCAGCAACTGGGTAATAAAATAAATCTAGCAGCAGGGACTGAGCCACTTTTATTACAGCGTTGGGGAGAGAAGTGAGGGAAGATACAATTCTTCAGCAGTATACAAGTGGCCAGGGGGAGGAGTGTTGGAAAGGGTTGATTTGGTTCGCTACAACTGTGAGAGGAAGCGTCCGAGGAAGAGCTTTCTGCCGGAGGACGATATCCTGGCTCACAGCAACTGAAAGCCTCCTAATGATAGCCCCAAAAGCCTGTACTACCGATAGCGCACGGTGAGGAATAGCGTATCATATGTAACTTGGCAGGCATTGCTCTAGACATGCCAAACTACCCGGTAAATCTTCTGCATTGAATGAACAACATCGTAAAAAAGTAGAGAATGTACTGAAAAAGAAAGAAAAGTTTTCTTCAGAGCTAACAGATCTCCTGGTACATTGTACATTATGATTTATTGATGACCTGACCATAGATGTAAGTGAAGACAATTAGCGAGGCTAGTGTGGTTCCCCAAGTAAAACACAGGTTATAGAAGGCTTTATTCTGTCTGTATCTACACTGGTAAATGCTGCGTCGTAAATGAGATGGAGATCTGTACATACACGTACAAGATGCCATTTTGTGGACCCGGGGACCCTTGATCGTGAGCAAATGGATTTGGAACCATACGCGGACGGCAGCAGATTTGTCGAGGATTTGGCGTAAGATGTCGGCACACTCTGCCGGCAAGTTCCTGGATGTGCGTTAATGGTAGCCTGCCTCCGCAGAGGACCAGCCGGTGTAAGATGTGGCAGATATGATATGTGGCAGCATTTCATCGCTTCTCAAGGGGGACGGTGAAGACCCATTACCGAGCCGTCTCCTTCATACAGCTGATTTTATCTCGCCAACCTTTCCGAGGACTGGAGTCTGTACGGTTACTTATCGGAATAACGGAACCATCTCAAATGGTTAGGAGACAAATGATCAGATTTGTTTCAGCTTTCTGCTGCTATTAAAAGTTAGGGTACTTTCATGAAAGACTTAGTTTGAAAACGGATGTTTCTGAGACAGGAAAGGAGTCTAATAGCTATAGTAAACTACCAGGGAAAATTGGTACCTTTTTTATGCGCAACAAACAACCAACCATTCAACTTACAACAATTCCACCAAGTACAGTAGGAGGAGCATCATCACTAAAGCTTGAAACAATGGTTACTGTACAATGTAGATGCACAAAGGCTATCTGTATCTGTATCGGTATAGCTAATATAACCGACATTCGGCATAACACACCAACTTTGCAGGCACGTGGCGCGGCGGCAACAAGCTATATCACACCAAACGGCTTGTTACACTCAATCTTTGCTTTTTTTTTTGCACATTTGATTGCAGGAGTTGTTTAAAGCTTTCTAGTGATGATGCCCCAACTGTGTAATTGGTGGCAACGAGTTCCAGTCTACGATAGTTCTGGGGAAATGCAAGTTTTTGAATACCTCAATTCTTGGTTGATAACTCTGATATTTGAAGGCATGACTGTTTCTTGTTCTTTTCTGGGCTACATTGTAGGTGTAACAAGTTGTTCTGTGCACCCGTAATACAGCTGCTGCTGCCATGCCTTGTGTCTGCAAAACTTAGGCTACAAATGTATACAGATTGTCAGATACAGAACATACATGTCGATTACTAGTACGCATACACCCGCACAATTTATAAAAGGTGCTATTTCCGGAACTTTCAGCCCAGGAAGAAAGTTCTGGACCAAGTCCTCCTCAACCGCAAGGGCCAAGCTAGACGGAAGATGCCACTACGCCCGCTACCTGAGTTTATAAAACCCAAGGCTAAAGCAGACAGGGCTCTCGGGAAGAGAACTAAGAATAAAGTGACAGTAAAGAAGGTATTAAGTCAGGACATGCAGTTGTTTTGTGTTAATGAAACTTGTTAACTTGAAAGTTGGGACTTCTAACCACTAGTATACGTTCTGCAAAGTCATCTCTATTAAAGTATTTTGGGCAGAACATGCATACACGCATCTTTTCAGCATGTACAATTTGGCAAATTATACAATTTTTGTGTATGATATGCTGTGCTAGACCCGCACTTGTAGGAAAATTGTTGCTTAAAATGCAAGAATATACACTTATTGATGTCATGAAATAAATGGATGCTTGGCTACTGGATACTATTAATATTTAGTATTGCACGTTTTTTCCTCGTGCTTGGGGAAATGGCCATGTTTCAACTTGAAGTAGACGGTCTTGGTACATTTGTAGTCCTTCGCAATCGAAGATGACTAGGAAGATACCAACCGTGCTAATGTGATTCATGCATTAATGCCCACAATGTATTGGGAATTTCATATGTATTTGGTCAGTGCAGTTGCTTGCTTTTAACCTAGACAACTTGTTCATGAGAATGTACAATTATTAATTATTTTGTTTAACTTACATGTAACAGAACAAGTACAAATGTATGGTTTCTGCAGCTTGTTGGCAGTTTTGCGTTGTTATTGTTCTGCCTGCAATGTTTGAATGTGCCAGTTTACCGCTGGGCCCATGTTACTTACTAACTCCCTCTCACCTTTTTACCAACAGGATGGTTGCCGTAGTAAAATGTTCGAAGTTTGATCTCCAAGAATGACAAATCACTTGTGAACGTAAGCTCGCGAGAGTTACTTTTACAGACACGTGACCTTATTTACAGGAGACTTTACGGATACGTGACATCAGCAATTGATCAAACATGCCAGGGAATAAAGTCTCGTGTGAATAAGGTGTATGTAACTGTTACAGTAACTCTCAAAAGTTTACATCCAGAAGTGATTGGTTATTAAGGCCATACCGATTTAATTTGTTGTTTCTCGGATTTGCCTTGTCCATTTTTTTCTGATTTGCCCAAAAATAAAAAGAAGAATTTTTTTCTGGTTCTACATCAACTGCAAAATGCTCAATGAAAGTTTTTCAATGTAACAGTGCAATTTTGTTTCATTAAAAGTTCAAAACCTATTGTTTTAATCATAAACCAGCCAGGTACAAAAATGTATGTTGACTTCATGGCTCATATCGTAACATTTCCGGGCATGGGGTGCCTTGGCCTGTTTTTTTTTTTTATTTCGCCCTGTCGCTTCATATTTTTCCTGACAAAATCTGAGAAACAACAAATTAAATTGGTGTGGCCTTATTACTGACGTAGATGAACTGTGCTGACAGAATGATGACATGTATGTTTTCCCAGGGAGCGGCGTTCTGGCACTCCACGGGCCGCCACACGAGCCGGCGCCTGCTGCGTACGGTCCCACGCCAGATCACCAACGTGCTGCAGGCAGACCTGCTCTGGGCCATGGGCTTCTCTGGTAAGGCCCTCCCGGACAACTTCTGTTCGTTTGTAAGGGACTGTACGATATTTACCGGGGGGAGGGCTGGTGTGTGGGGGGGGAGGGCCATGGAAAAAAGATTTGGCTTAGGGGGAGGGCCATGGAAAAAAAATCAGGGCTGGGGGGCAGGCCATGGAAACTTTTTTTCATGAATACGTTGTACGATCCTAGGTTCCTAGCTTTCAAAATATGCAATGCTTCTCCGGAAAGTTTGAAATCTCTGATTTCTTGTTTTGTTCAATTTTTAATAATTACTGTAACATATATAACATATAACATAGACAGACAGACAGACAGTGAAAGAATTGAACTGTTTTCATGCTAATTATGATTTATGTTTTATTTACTAGGGAGTGGCATCAAGGTGGCAGTGTTCGACACGGGACTGAGCGAGAACCACCCGCATTTCCGCAACTTGAAGGACCGCACAAATTGGACCAATGAGAAAACCCTTAACGACGGTAAATTTGCATTCACGAGCTTTTGGTGTACAATTTTTTTGGGGGGGGGTGAAAGCAATGCTACGTGTACTATACATTGTACAGATGTTCGTAAGAAGTGAGAAAGGAAACATGTACACATGTGTAGATGTTTGTCTTTAAAAATAGAATTTATGGATAGAAGTAAGGTTGTTAGAAATAAAATAAACCTCAGAGTCAACCCATCATTTGGCATTGGGATTGAAAATTTGCTAAAAACCGTAGATGGTAGATTTTATTGATTTCTAAAAAAATGATACAGTAGTCCAGCATCATATGCAAGGCAAGTCCAAGTATATTGTACTCCTAGTATATCAGACACCCCCTATATGTAGAAACTCTGACCACTGAGCGACAAAAAATGTGATGTTTTTGTGTTTTGTTGTCTTTTCGTTCATCTTTTTTTTTTTACATCTTCCATCACATTCCAATTAGAATTTATAGACAAGTCTGATTTCGGTCGCAGTATGGTTTCTCAGAGATTGCCGTCTAGTGGAAAGGGTTCCTGAGATCTGCATCTGTATATCTGTATCAGTATAGCTGGTATAACCACCCTTCGGCGTAACAAACCAGCTTCGCAGGCACGCGGCGCAGCGACAGCTAGCTATATCACACGAACGACTAGACTTGTTACACTCAACCTTTGCACATTTGATTGCAGGAGTTGTTTAAAGCTTTCTAGTGATAATGCCCCAACTGTGCTTGGTGGCAACGAGTTCCAGTTCTGAGGAAATACGAGTTTTTGAACACCTCAATTCTTGGTTGATAACTCTGATATTTGAAGGCATGGCTGTTTCTCGTTCTTTTCTGGGCTGGACCCGGGTAGACAGTCTGAAGACTCAGGACAGAATGCTTGATGTTTCCCTGAGACAAACCCTTCCGGGGGACACGTCTTCCCAGACGTACAGAACAGTCTGTAATTGGTGCGGTAAAAGCAGCTTTTGCCAGGGGCGGCTATTCTGTGTCACCATTGATTCGACGGTTAAGCATTTATGGTGCCATGCCTCGTCTCGAGCAGTCCGAGATGGGCCGACTGCCCCCGGACCGGCACCGATGTCTGCTCAGCACACAAGTTTATTGGAAATGCTGTTCAGGCCACACCAATTTGATATTTTGGTTCTCGGATTTTCTGCAGAAATTACGGCAGGGCGAAAAAAAAGATAAAATTAAACAGGTCTGGGCATCCTATTGTAGCCCCAAATACTGCGATTAGGAGCCATGAAGTCAACACAGAAGGCTTGGTTAAACAATGAATTTTGAACTTTTAATCAAACCACTGCATTGATACATTTTAGATGGAAAAACTATAGCATATAGAAAGAAAAAGACTTTTCTCAACTGTTGGGAGCAAAAATATGAGCATTTTTGAGTTGATTCTGAACCAGAAATTTTTTTTTTTGCAAATCAGAAAAAAATGAAGAGGCAAATCTGAGAACCAAAATGTCTCTGGGTATTTATGTTTTTTGTATGTGAACATGTCCTTTGCCTTTATTCTTTGAAATTACAATAAAGATTATTTGGAAAAAAAAATCTGAGAACCAAACAATTAAATTGATGTGGCCTCACCACAGTACTTCAGAAATTATGTAGGGTCCCACAACTCACAACGGTCTATTGTTTGACAAAGTTGCCGCATGTGCTATTCATGTTCTGTAGGGAGGAAGGTTCATCTGGTCACAGATACATGTATGTCTCTAACGTTGTGTTTATCAAAAATGTTGTATACGCACATGTACATGCCTTGTACTGGTACGCAGTCTTCAGTCTCTTTTGATCATAAATGAGTGCTGACTGGAATGAGACTATTGTATTTTCCTGAGAGATTTTATGGAAGACATTTTAACAGTAAGTTGTTACAGAGGCCACACCAATTTAATTTCTTGGTTAACGGATTTGCCCGCTTCATTTTTTTCTGATTTGCAATAAAAAAAAATTCAGAATCAACTGCAAAATGCTCATATTTTGCCCTGAACAGTTGAAAACAGTCCTTTTCTTCCAAGTTGTTACAGTTATCCCGTCTTTTAATGCAATGGTTTGATTACCTGTTCCGAATTATTTATATATGTTCTTGTTGTGAGGGCTAGCCCTTTATGATAGCCTCTGGCTAGTATCATTAAAAAGTTCAGAATTCATAATGTTTAAATTTTGAACCAGCTTGGTGTTTTGACTTCACGGCTCCTATCGTACCATTTTGGGCCATAATAGGATGCCTAGGCCTTTTTTTTTTTTCGCCCGCTCCATTATTTTTCTAGAAAAATCCCTTAACCAAGAAATTAAATTGGTGTGGCCAGATTGTGTTTTTGGATTCTCTCAGTCTATCTGCACGGGCAGATGAGGGTTGCAAGGTCTGCGTGTGCAGGTTAGTGCAGGTAAAGTTGGAGCTGTGCAGTTGCCTGCAAATTCATTGGTCATTCTCGGAGCAAAGCAGACTGCCGTGAAAGGATGAGGCTGTCAAGGATTGATAGTGCCAAGGGCCATACAAATTCATCCCAAGATCTAATAAAATGGACAAGAAGGAGGTAATAAAGATCATGGGTATGTCAGACCGTGAAGGCTGATTGATGTGGACCTGATGGGCATTCCCTACGCTAGCTGTCCCCACGGCAGGCTTTCACAGCTTCCACCAATGGCCATGTGTTGGTAGTGATGCATACCGGTTCACTGGACTTGGATCCGAACTTGTAAGAATGTTTAGGTTCAAGTCCAAAAAAACCTAAAAGTCAAGAACTGAGTCCGGACTTATTACCATAAAAGACCATTTCACATACCCCTTTTCTTTCCAAACCACCTAAAACCTTCCATAGATTGTAAAATCTTTGCTGCAATGAAGAAAACATTGCCATCAGGCATTGTCAAGTACCGGCCTCCATGTTATGTGGCCAAAGTTTCACCCAGACAACATTGCAAGGTTGCCAACATGCAATTTTGTATATGCCAAGTGGTTTAGGTCTAGCCTGGGTACCATCCCCAGTAGTATATTCGCAAACTCTATAACTGGGTCTGGACTTGCACACATATAAAACGATTGGTCATGACGTCACGTAATGAGCTAGCCCGAGCAGCGGGGCTTCATTTGATTGGCTGAGCCTCAGAGGCGACGGCCAATGACGCACCTGCATTATTCAAGTGATGTTTGTTGTTTTGTAAACACAGATCTTCGCGCGAGTGTTCCTTTTCTCGGTGCGTTCTTTTTTTACCGGTAGGACGCCCAAAACATCACGAACGAAATTATTCAATGCATCTTTTTGCTCATTTTTGAGCGACGATATTCCGTCTAAATCGTCCAAAACGGACGTGATTGCGAGGTCAACATCAACCTCCGTGAGCTGAGCGGCTTGTGCGTCAGCCATGTTGATGATTTATCGCGGAAAGACTGACTACGGCTATATCATGTGCACTTTTGCGTTCGGTTCGCCGTCGGACATGTTGATGATAAGGCGTTCGCACGTCCGAACGGACGCTAACGTCGCCGTTCGGACATCCGAACAGCCCTTACCTAATATGTACACACCCAAAAAAGGGCTTAGACGAGTAGGACCAATCAGCGCGCTCGTTCAAAATCTGAACGAATATTTAGACTCCAGACGCTACATATGTGTGCAAGTCCAGACCCAGTTATAGAGTTTGCGAATATACTACTGGGGATGGTACCCAGGCTAGTTTAGGTCTGCCAGTCCGGAACTGAACCTAAACCTCTGGACTTGAATCCGGACCTGAACCTAAAATTGGGTTTAGGTATGCATCACTATGTGTTGGGATGGACTTTTTTATCTGCAGGGATGGGAATACTTTTTTCTGCATACCATATTAAGTTCATGTTGAAAATTACCTGCTGCAGACAAATTCTACAAAAGTGCAGGTTAGGTTCAGGTAGACATCAGAAATACCTGCACAGCTCCAATTTTACCTGCACTAACCTGCATATTCCTAGTACATGGACCAGTGCAGGTTAGGTGCAGGTAGACATCAGAAATACCTGCACAGCTCCAATTTTACCTGTACTAACCTGCATATACGCAGTACATGGACCAGTGCAGGTTAGGTGCAGGTAGACATCAGAAATACCTGCACAGCTCCAATTTTACCTGCACTAACCTGCATATACCCAGTACATGGACCAGTGCAGGTTAGGTGCAGGCAGACATCAGAAATACCTACGCAGCTCCAACTTGACCTGCACTTAGTCTTCATTTGTAACTTGCGTATGTCCAGAGGTGTTCCCCCTAGGCAAAATTTAGACATCTTAACCCTCTGAAGCACAATTTCCTGAATTTTGAGTGGCAGATTTTACCGGTACACTAAGCTTAGTTTAATGACATCTCTTTCTGTATCTCTACATGCTGATCTTTGTCTGTCAAAGACTATTTGTCAACCTTGAGTGGCAAAATTCAGTCAAATGATGGAAAGACAGACACTATAGCTAAAACACTGGTTGGTACTTAAGTTTACTGCTGCGTGTTTTTGTTATCACAACCAAAGACTTCCTGTAACCCAGCATCTACAATGTATGTTGTTGTATTTCAAATGTAACTATCAACTGTGGGGAGGCAAAGAGAACTACTGATAATGTATTTCCCATCTTGACACTGATGTATTGGGCAAGTTGTCGTAAAAGCAAGTTGCTTTTCATGTGACGGCTTCATTTATCGTTGCCTTTAATCCACTGACACAATCAGATCCACTCCGTTAAATGCTACATATAAATCAGCATTGCCCCAGGCACTTTGTTTCTGTAGATCTTTTGAAAGCAGTGGAGAAGTTGTCGTCTTTTTCAACCCAGATTTACGTCTGAAAACGTTGACGTCTATAAACGGTAACCATTAAGGAGTGACAGGGCTTGTGATTCAAAGG